GAATAAATGTTAATGATATTAATTAATTGCCCCTGAGGACCTTCAATTGAAATATAAATGTCTAAACAACTTGCATAAGTTAACGACATTAGCAGCACAAAATTTATAATATTATGTTTAAAATTTATCAAAAGAATACAAAATTAAAAATACAAAAATTTTGCTTAAGCTTAAAAATATTAATAAATAAAAATTAATATTAAACAATGTAAATAAATTATTTTTAATAAAACTAAAATATATTAATAAAAATCAGAGTGATTTTTATTTTATTTGTTAATTTTTTAAGTTTTAAAATATGAATTAATTTATTAATAAAAATTCCCGTTATAACAAAAAAGATACTTCTGAGTGGGGATTAATTCTGCAATTTTGAGCACAACAAACAATTTGCCAGTCCGCTTGCAATTTGTCATGTTATTCCGTTTTTTGCTCCAGCAGATTAGTGAATTTATTGTTGTTGGCGACACCGGGTGCTGATTATTCAGTGAATACACATGCAAAATTTGTGTGCGTCTCCACGGCAGCCGGAACAACAAAAACAAGCCCGAAGAGAGGAAATTCGGCGCATTACAACAATAATCATAAGTAGCCGCCGAGTCGGGACGTAATGACGACGGCGCGCGTTTTAATGATAATGACGCGCGCAGCCTTTGATGTTTTGCTGCGTGTTGTATTATTTGTACAATACCCTGCCAGCAGCGCGCCTGATGCTTTTGTGTATAAATAAATGGACGGGGTGGTTGTGTGCCTAGGGATGATTGATTGGGCCAAGCACAAAACAGCACCTGTCCATTTGCCGGCGGGCAAAAAGAGCGAGAGTCACTTGTCATATTTCATCACCACCACCACCCCTAGCAGCAGAACAATGACGGACCAACCCCGGCAAATGAATGCAAAAAATAAAACCCGCCCGAATAAATCATGCTAATTCACCCTCTGAATTTAATTCCGGAGAAAGAGTAGAATTATTATTATCATTATTAGCGCCCTTTGTGTCGGGGTAATTGTTCGGAATTGCGTGTCGGCGTTTTCTCTCACCTGACCCGGGCGCATCAGTCACCATTTGCAGGAGGAAAATGTATAATATTCGGCCGAGTGAGTGAGTTCTTTTGTACGGATTAAATTATTAGATTGGCGCGGTTGCCTCAATTTGGGCCGCGTTTGTATTAATGATGATTGTGGAGGAACATGAAACAGAGGCATTAATCACGGTCGCAATCGATTAATATGGAAATATGAACTCGGCCAATCATGCAATTGACTGCGGTCAATTTTCATCCAAGCCTTTCAAAGATAATCTATCAAATTTGTAGAGATTATACAGCTATTTTCACAGATAGATCAATTAACAGTAAATTTAATAATTTTTATAATTTATTAAAGAAAATCAGTTTAATTTTTTTAACGATTTTCATGGAAATGCGATTTTATTAGCAAAAATATCTAAAATTTCGTTTAAAAACTCTGACACTATTAAATTTTAAGATTCGAAATCTGCCGTACTTTTTTTTTTTTTTTAAATTATTGCCAGTGGCAGTCCAGCCAATTCCCTCTCCATACCAGAGGCAAAGTCGTTCACGACAGACGCAGCCCTACGCACTGCATAATTGCATTTCCCAAATCCGATTACGCCGCCTCGCTCTGCTTCGGGATTAATCCGAAAGTTCCGAACTTTGTCCTCGGCGCAAATAATCTCCCTTTTTTTCCCCGAGCAGAAAAGAAGAAGTATCGATTAAACCATCAGTTCGCCAATATTTGTGATAAGGAATCAATTCTCTGTTTTTGGGTGCATCGGCACCGAAAAGAGAAAGATGCACCCCCGTCGGTGCAGTTAAGGGCTTAACCTGCCAGAGAGTCGCATGTGCCGCCGGATAGGGGGAGCTTGATAAGGCGACGACGGCGAGCAGGGGTTGCTAACTACGCCAAAATGGATCAATATAGAGTGAGAGAGAGAGAGAAGCAAACACTGAAGAGAGAGAGAACCGTGTTTAGAATGGTATCAAGTTGTGTGGAGCAGCCGCAAAACAGGCCCGCACACTCGGTTCCAGCAGGCGCCGGCAAATTGACACTTTTCTTTTCAGAAAATTAGCTAATAAGCAAACAACGCGTCTCTGCTTAAAAGGAAAAGAGAGGCGGGAAATTCGGGCACGTGTTCCCCTTCGCAGCAAACATTCACTTTTGCGATGGAAGAAGTTTGTACGTAATTAATTATTTGTGTAAAAAGAAGTTTCCTTCTGCAGCAACTCGAGGATGCGCCACAATGCACCTTTTTTAACTTTTATCTGGGAAGCTGCAGTTGGAGATTAATCGGCGTACGGTTGGATAAGACGGCTAGCAACACACAGAAAGGATTAGATGCTCTTGGCTTTCTTTGCCAGATGGCGCACTTCAAACCGGTGCACAAGAAGCAAAACTATCTGGTGAATAGGGCTATAGAAAATTTCCTCGAGCAAAACAAATCTTAATGCGGCAAAATAAAGTTCAAGAGATAAATTTGCTATGTTGGTTTTTATATTTGTAAAGGAGAGTTTATTTTAATCCTGAATGAGTTGAATGACAAAGCATCTGCGATTTCTATAGGTATGTTTATATTTTGTATACTTAAAATTAAAAAAGAAAAGGATTAATGTGAATTTCCAGGATTTTTTTAGTTGGAAAAGTCCAAGGTAAAATTGTTTTTAAGTAAATAAGTCTTTGTAGCAAGTTTGTTATTTTCAAATTTTATTAAATTAAATAAAATTCAAGAATGTTTTAAATTTATTTTCCCTCTAAAATTGCGACTAAGTCCTGAAAATTTCAAACCCACACATCTAGAATGAGAATGACAAAAAATTTCATAGAGTCATTATCATAATTAAATTCGGAAAGAATTATTCACCAGTCCAAGTATTTGAAAAATTTAAATTTAAATAACTTTCATTTTAAAAATTTGATAAAAGTGTCTAATTTATTTGCTTAATTTTTTATATTAAATTTTATTATTCATTTGAGAGTTAGACTGGAATATTTTATCTAGAAAACCTAGAAAACATAACAATTGCACTGAAAAATAAAAAGGGATATCAAATTATAGATCACACCGTGAAAAAACTTAATAATTTCAAATTGCGAGTTTTGGCGCGCGTGCTTTGCTGTTTGTTATTCCCCGTTTTCTCTCTCCCCATTTTCGAATCCATAACGCAGGAAATGAAACAAAAGCACCGCCGTCATCATCCCTCACTGATTTAGCATTGCAACTCTTTTGGCCGTGTCATTCCGGCCTCGGGGGACGACTCGTCGCCAAATGCACAAACAGAGAGTGGTGTGTGTCTGGTCGGTTTTGCGCCGTCGCCGTGTGTCGCAATGCAAGTCGAGGGGGCTGCAAATTGACGGAAAATTGCACTCGGGGCGGTGGCTGCTGTACAGGGGGTTGCTTTTGTGAAAAGGCCGGCTCGAAATTTATATATATGAAAAGCTCGGAAACTCAAGAGTATGTGCAGGTCACTTTTGCGCGAATTTTTCTAAAGAAAATCTTAAAATGCGGGTTCTGATTAACGTTTTTGCAAATTAATTAAGAGAGCCGCGCGTCAGTCCGAGACAGAAACGATGTTTTTAATTGAAAACGCAGAAATTTTAATTAACGCGGAGTAATTAGTCATGAAGCTGTCGTTTTCACGCACTCTCCTTTCTTGCAAGACCCGCGACCCCTCGAGTTTTCAACTCGGTGAGTTTTCAACAACCCTCTCAAGTTGGAAAAACTTGCTTAATTATGTAACATCCTCATAATGACCACAGGCTGGCTTTCCCCAATTATACGTCTCGAGTCTCGGCCACACATAGAGATGCATTCCACTTGAGATGCTTCATCCTTGCCAATTTAAATTTTGCAGAGAAGTAAACACTTGAAAAAAGTCTTACTTGGGAACAAAATGTATGCATTTTTGTTTAAATAAATTATCCCCATCTGCAATTACGGGATGTAAATTGAAAAATCGTGCAGTAATTGCATTAAGCGTTTATAAATATTGCATTAAGAAAATTATTACCTTGGTAATTTTTTTAAATGATAAAAATTAGGATTTTTGCAATTTTTTTTAAAGATTAAATTAAATAAATTATTTCTAAATTAAAATTCCTTTAAACTGAACTGGAATTAAGTGCAAGTGAATTGCCGAGTTTGTGGATCTCTCATGCTGAAGTTCTTTATTGTCACGAGCCCTTTACAAATTTCAATTAATTTTATAGTTGCAAGCCTTTGAGGAAAAGTTTGCAAAATAACTTCGTAGGCAGAGACCACGAGGAAGTTCTTCTTTGTTTTAAACGTTTTGAGTGTTTCAAGTCAGAAATAGAGGTTTCTTGTGCGGAATAAAAGAGAAGTTCTTACCCTTTAGATGTCACAGCTTAATCAGCCAGAATTATTTAATTCAATTTTTAAAGAATTTTGTCTTTTTCTAATAAAAACAGCAAATTAAAAAAAAACTTTTTTTGACGGGAAAGATTTTTTGGAATAAAAAAAGACAGCTAATGACTGGGCACGCAATCAACACAAGCAAATTTCAGCTGTTGACGCGGGCTTAAGTCTTTCGTCGCCCCACAGACAATGATGAAAAATTCGCCCGTTTTCTCCCTTTGAAGCTCTTTCATTCTCGCTCACTCGTTTTCCTTTCCTCTTTCTCTTCTTTTTAATAAAACCGGCACTGCCGCCGCCGCTTTTGTGCACACACACACACTCACTCACTCACTCAGCCTGTTTTGTTGTTTTGTGCCTGCCATTGTTCGTTGCTCGCAGCGCCCGATTTGTTCAATGCGCGCAGACCATTAGCGAGAGAGCACACAGAGACTGAATATATATAGAGGAGCGGCTTTTATTCAACATCCCCGCAGATTTTTCTTTCTTTCTTTATTTATTTATCATTTAATTCCGTGTATGGCAGAGGTTGCGTGAACGGCCATAATTATGCCGCGAATCGTTTGCTCAAATGAAATTAAAAATGAAAGAGGCTTTTAACGAGACCTACCTTTTCTCGAGCGAGCACCAGCCGCAGTAGGGGTCCCTGGCTTCCAGGCAGGACGAGCAGTTGGCGAAACTCGAGCAGTGCTCCACCTTGACCTTCAGGATCTGCAACAAGAGAGGAGGCAAAGATCAGTCATCGACCAAAACAAAAAGACCAACAACCTTCAATTCCAATAATATCCGTAAAAAAAAACCAAAATCATTTATTAAATGAATTCAATCAATTCTAAAAAGGATGAATAATCTATTTAAGTATTCTTTAATTATTGAACTAATTATGATAATCAAAATAATTTAAATTTCAAATTAAAGCACTTTAAAAAAAATAAAATTTAATGATATATATTTGAAGTATTTTATTTCCAATCTTTGACAATCAGAATCAACTATTTTTGCAATCAATAGTTTGGATCTAAAACGATTTTCCCAGTGACTTTTTATTAATTATTATTATTATCTATTTTTTATTTCATTTATTATTATTATCAATATTATTTTTTATTAATAATAATTATTAATTATAATAACATTAATATTATTTCTTTTATTTTGCAACAAGGATTAATTTTAATTTAGTTTAGGACTTCAGGGACAAAATTTACAATCAGCGTTTTATAAGTAATCTTGACCGGCTTGACTTCACAATTCTGAATTTGAATATCTGAAAAGTTATTAGTATTTCAGTTTAATTTAAGAAATGTTTAGATAACAATATTGAGGAACCAAATTTTATAGTCGAATTAAGTATCGAGCTTAAATTAAAGTGCGTTCCGTACATATTAACTTTATAGACTAACAAATTTCGCTCCCACAAGAAGATTAAAAAATTTATGCTGACCCAGTTTATTTATTTCACGGCCTAATGATATCTATAGCCAGGGATCATGTCCCTCTTTGTCTCTCTCTTCTTCCACTTGACCCTAACCTAACTTTGAGATAATCAACCGTGTCTCTCTCTCTCTCTCTCCGGCATTTCCTTTCCTCAACTGTCACAGATAAATTTCCCGCTGCTTTTGGGCGTGTGTTTGTCGCCAGAATGGAGCTACATTCGTAATAACGCGCTGCTGCGGGACAGATAAACAAGAGTGTAAAAATTCAATTTATTTTGATTAGTGCTGCGCCACGTCCGCACGAGTCCTGCAGTTCTCTCTCTATTTTTTTTTTTTTTTTATTATATGAACCGCGGCAGATGTTGAAAATGGTTCTTTTTGTTTGGGCACCAGCAATTGTCTGCGCCGCCCGAATCATAATAAAACGTTAATTGCGGCCACGACAGAATCAATTAGGAAATTTATGGGTTTAATCTGATTTCCGGGGCGCGCCAATTAATCATGCGCGTTGAAAGGAGCTGGCAGAAAATAGGCCCGCCGAGCCAAAAGTTTACGACGGCTCATAAAAAGGCGGCCAATTTCCATTATTTGGCGAGAGCGTTAATTGGAATCGTCTTCCTGCCCCTGCACCGAAATTGATTCCCTGGTTGCTTCATGATTGGTTGCCCCGAGTGAAAACAAAAGGGGCCACTTTGCTGTAATGAGACGTTGGCAAATCGCTTCTTTTTATGCCATGATGATATTATTTATGAAAAAATATATGAAAAATTCTATAAAAAAATAAGCTCAGACTTTAGAAGATAATTCAAAATAAATTATCCAAAAATTTTTGTATCAAATTGTTTGGAACTTTTATATTCAAATTTCTATTTTGATTTTTTGTTGATATTTTCTGAAGTTTCAAAAGTTTCGAAAGAGTTATTTGAATTCACACTTTCTATTTTTATAAATTTTATCATTTTTTTCCGCCTTCCAAATAAAATTTCAGAGGCTTTTTTTGGTACAACAACGAAACTTTTTAATTGCAAAATTATTGAGTTAACAAAAATATTTTCCAACCTTTAAAATTACACAACGAGTCCATTAAACAACTCATTTTATGAAAATGTAAAAAAATTCGCTTTGACAATGAATAATCGATTCAGCGTTGCGGCCGGAATCGTTTGCTCGTTAATTATACAGCTTTGGTTAACAACTGCCGCACTTGCACTTGATTTCCACTGCATACAAATGGATTCACCAAATCGCTCGCGGCACCAAATAAATCTACTCTCACACATACCGCAATCAGCATTATTTGCAACCGGAATGAAAAATAACGTCAGCAAATGCAAAGCTTGTTGCGAATTTGATGGAGTGAATTGAACGAGGGAAAGCTTAAAATATTAATGAGCTATCGATTGCGTTTAGTGTTTTTATATAAATTTGTGTGGCAAAATTGAGGAGAAAAATGAAGAAATTAATCAATTGAAAGTATGTATAGTTTTTTAAGTGTAATGAAATAAATTAATTTTTGAAAACGCAGAAATAAAAAAATTACAATTACGTCATAATTTTTTCCTGCAGAACATATAATTTTATAATGCAAAAAAACAAGGTTTCAAAAAAAAAAATATAATATTAAATTAATATATTTAATTGTAAATTTAATTGTACGTTTCCTATTCGAGCTCTGCAGGTTGCATACTTTGATTCAGTTCAAATAGACAGTTTTAAACGCAAATTTTATTAACACTTTAAATTTATTATGCAAGGAGATTGAATTGCATAATTTAAGCTTAATTATTATTTCATTTCATCATTAAATCGGAATTCAATTAAAACTCATCATTTTCTCTAAAATTCTTTCAGAACATTGAAAAATTCGTTCACATATCTTCAGCAGTCCTCGCTACCGTTCTTCCTACATATGAAATAAGCGCGGCACCAAAATGGCACAAATCAATAGAGCCGCTCCAGTCACGTTTCCGTTCCAATTTTTCCGCACCGCAAAAAAATTATATATTACAGCACTGCAGAGAGAGAGGGACGATTTCATCCAGCAGGAATGCACATTCGAGCTTAGGCAGTTTCAGCAGCGCTGTGTGTAATGGCATCATTTTCCTCCGGGGTGCAATTGCCGGCGTGATGCATGTTGACGCGATAAAATAATTCAGAGCCACCCTGCTTTTCGCGAATAAGTGAGTTAGCGAAACGCCATTGGGTCTGCCGATGCCCAATAGATAAGCCCTCAATAATAACGCGCCGTTTATATATAAAAAAAGGGAGCGAGCGTGCATGCGACATTTATTATTTTTATCAGCAGAGTGGAAAATTTTCCAGCAGCAGCCAGAGAGTCACTTTGGAGCAGAGCTAATGGTAAATATCGTTGGTGTGCGCGAGCGATAATAAAATATATCACACACAGCCTCCATTATAATGTAAGTCTCGAAAGGGAGAAAAATAACACGCCGAGATATATTATAAATAAAAATATATATAGTCGTTTTTAAAAAAAGGCTGCAGTCATGACGCTTGAGTGAAACGTCTGCCGGCTTGATGGGCTTGTACGAGTGTGAGTTGAGTGTGTGTTTTATATGGCTTTTTAGGTTTAGGGCGGGCTTGTGTATGTTAAGGTCTCTCTCTTTCTTTCTTCTTTTTATTATTCTCGGGAATAAAAAGCGGCAGCCGGCGAAATGAAAATGCGCCTCGAAAGCACCAGAGGACCAATTCCCACACAGAAAGGCTTTAATTTAATATTAGCCGTCTGCCCGGAGTGGAGGTTTTCAATGCAGTCAAAGGCTAAAAAGCTGCCGCCGCCGCCGCTTTAATTCGATTTTTCGGCCGCGGTGAAAGGGGGATTTAAATCCCGAGCCGCGGAAATGCCAAGTTGGTGCAAAAACGCTCCATTTGCCCGAATTTCAGCCACGCTCGGATGAATCGGAAATGCTTTTTCCGCATTCGGGTTTTTTTCTGAAAAGTCACGACTGACGGGAAATTCAATTTAATATTTAAGTAATAGGATCAAAGACATTTACTTTAATTGGAGATTTGACTGACACAAAAGAGGAACTGAGATGGAAAAACTGTTAATCCACTCCATTCAAAATGGTTGAAAACTAAAAAAAATAACGACTAAAGGAAATTTATTAAAAAATTTGATTTATTTATGAAAAATGGTTCAATTTTGATTTGAATTTAACCTCCCGATTCAATTTCAAAGTTTCAAGTGGCGATTTTATAAAAACAAAATAAGGGTGTCAAAGTTTCGTTTACAAGAAAATGATTTTTAATAAATATAGGAAAGCAAATAAAATTATTAATTTAAATTTTATCATTTTTAAGCATTACTCACGTAAATTAATGCATTTATTTAGAGATAACTTCAGATTAGATCAAATTAATTGTAAGATATTAAATTACAAGCTAAAAATTAATAATATTAATTTGTTAAAACTTTCATAGCAATAATCAAAGTTGCAACAATTATTTTATTTATTTATAATTAGAATTAGTGTCAAAATTTTCGCCGCATTATTATAAATGAAATCAACCTATCGTAAAGTTAACTTGCCGCATCAAATCCATTGATAAACTTGATCCGAGAGGCTTTACGATGTCACCAAAAAATTTCTTTTGCTACACCTTGCTTTTGATGCCTTCGAGCGTCGGTTGTTGGCAAAAAAGCTCCACAGCGGCAGTTTTTCTTATCGACGCACTTCCTCGCTATACTCATCTTTTCTTTCTCAAAGCAAGGAGAAGAAGAAGAAGTCTGACTTGCTGCTTTACTGCGAGGCCATGCCCGGAATTAATTACGTGGAACAACCAGTGTTTGGCGTATAAAAAAAAACCCCCCGAATAAAACAGCTGCCGCTTTTTTGTGCGTCAAATTTTTTATGTGCGCACGACCTGTGCAGCATCATTTTTCATACACACAGGTGACTATTTTGTATTTTTAGAATTTCAATTAGCGGCGGCGTGAGGTGTAAAGTTGTTTTTCTTTGGCTGCTTTTGTGCCCACTCTGTTTCACGCACCTTTCATGACCTGTCAAACGCCCGAATGTTTTCTCTGCTAATAGGCTTCGGGAGCTCTATTGGCACTTTCCTATACATCCATCTCTCGATACTCTCATTTGTGAGGTTTCCCGCGTCGGTGCGGTTCAAAAATAAGAAAAACAGTGGACACGGAAAATTGTTTCATCATTTATTTTAGCCGAAATATGGTTTCGAACAAAAATAAGCGAAACAAAAATATATGGTTCAGAGAAAAACGGGAATTTTTCCTCAAATATTGTC